CTAAAGCTACACTACTTCACTGTAGCCATACCATGAGTTAGGCTTACGGCACCATCGCCAGTGTGCAATGGTCGTTTCAATAGAAGCGTTTCAATAGAATGCAGCATTTTGCACCATATAGGTGGATTTCTTGTGTAAGTAATCTTGAAGAAAACGGATTGTGGGCAGTGCAGGGCTGCAATGAAGGGCTCGGCGAGCCATGAACACGCATATTTAACTGCACTGAAGGAGTATGTTTAGGATGGCGAGAACTTGTGTTATCCCGACGGTGAGGTTATGAGCTCGCTCATATCTTGTGAAGAGGATTTGAAGGGAACCACATCCTGAGCAGACAACCTGTTCACCCTGATGACCCTTCTCAAAGCTGTAACTGAATATTCAATCAAAAGGGCGAAGCGCTGCGTGCAGGCATGCCAGCAATAGAAGGGCTCTCTCGAAAAAATTATATCAAGTTATGCGCGAGTAAAGCGTACTTGTGAGTCACCTGCGGCAGCTCGAAACAACGAGAACCAGTGAAAGTGGAAGCAAAACACGCTTTGCGGTTAACTTGCAGTGAGTTATAACGCTTGTTTTTGAAGTATAATAAAATTATCGCCCAAATAAAGCTTTGGCATCCGAGATTGCTGTATAATAAATGATATTTGCTTGCTCATTATTGTAAACCCGTGTGTTCGCTTCATTTTAACGATAATAATGAACGCTTTAAAGATTGCTAATTTACAATATATTCCTATATAACACACGCTAAACCTGATTTGACTGTGAAAGTCTGCGTGCGAGCCATGATTTCATGCCATAAAAGCCACATGTAGATCACCAAAATAGTATGATATGCTTTCAACAATTTTTTTGCCAATCTGCTGTTTGCAGTAAGGTATAAGAGATGACAACTACGTACAATATACTGTGCGTTGCAGGGTGAGGTCCGTAAATGAGGTAGCTATTGAATAATTCAAAAATTATATATGAAAATATGGTACGCAATCATGGTTTTAGGGGCGAAGCTCCTAAATCCGTGGGTTTGTACATGCATGTCTGTGACCGGTTCGTAACCACCTGGTTGTATGACTCACTCAGCATGTGGCACTAGTGTGAGTGATAGACAGACGGATGGACAGACAGACAGATGCACAGACGGACGGACGGATTTACGCTTTGCCCCACTCACCATGAATGATGATGACTGGAACGAAGCGTTTGTCCGTCCGTGCTATGCTGTGCTCCGTGGATATGCTGTACGGACGGACGTGTTAATGAACGTACGAACGGACGGACGCAGGAATGGATGCACGGACAAGAAGCATGCACGGACAAGAAGCATGCACGGAAGTACGGATAAAGGCTTTGCCCCACACATCATGATTCACTCTGTGGATATGCTGTGATTTTTCTCTTTTCTCTCGACAGCACGTATTTTTTATTCTTTTTTTTTGCAGCCAGCTGGTAAATGGCAAACTGTTTTTACACTTTTGTGGACTGCACGCAACACATTGGCAGACAAATTGAAAGGTCGTGTGACTTCGGTGCGGGTGTTTCATATCCTTAACCTATATAAATAGTTAGCGATTAGTCCAAAAAGACGCTAATTGAAGGTGCTAACGCGGCTTGCGTCGACGGTATTTTTCTGCTGCGAGGAACACCAGCTACTAATGTCACTTTCAAAATGAAGACTGGAGACGAGATACCTAACACCTTCACACTCCCGATGAAAAAAAATCACTGCATATCCACGGAGTTAATGATGATGAGTGGGTCGAAGCGTTCATCAGCCCGTCCGTGCTTCCGTCCGTACGTTCGTTCTTGCTTCCGTCCGTCCGAGCGACCATCTGTGCGTCCATCCATACGTCGGTCCACCTGTCTGTCCGTTCGTTCATACGTCCGCGCGTCCACCTATCTGTCCGTCCGTCTTTTAGTCTGTCTGTCTGTCCATTCGTCCGTCAGTGCGTCCATCTAGAGAACATTCTCAGTACCGCCATCTCGCATCTCGCATCCCCTGTGGTACATACCCGCTCCGCGCGCCTGTTCATCCGTCCGTCCGCCTGCTAGCCTGTCTGTCCTTCCGTCCATACGTCCGTCCGCGCGTCCATCTAGTGAACACACCAAGTACCGCCATCTCCTATCTCGCATTCCTTGTGGCACATACTCGCTCTAGAGCGGGTATGTGCCACCGGTGGCTACGTACACCAATGGAGGAAGGATAGACCCACACCCTAAAGAGCTTCGCTCCTTAAAACTTTGTATTTCTCTCATGTTGTTTGATTACCATACGTTTCAACGCAACAAACTATGTATGCAGCCGCGCAACACTTGTTGGCTGGCCGTCGTGGCTATAGGCGGTTTGCGCATAGGGCATCGTAATGGCGGATTCCGTAGCAGACGACGCGATTGTCTCCACCCTTCTAAAGCGGCGGAGGGGGGCGCGCGCATCGAGGAACCCTAGACGACGCGCGCTCATTGCGCCATATTGCTGGTAATGCTGAAAACACGATAGTTCCCCTCTCTCCCCACCCCCACGTCTGAGATGTCCGGCACCAGCGGTAAGTGGTAGATATAAATAGGTTGCCGTTTGAACGTTCAGAGACGCACTCCTCGGTAGCTGAGTGGTTAACGCCTCGAACTCACGTCTCAGTGGTCCCAAGTTTGATTCCGAGCGCCAGAGTCTTATTCTGGACTTTTTCCTCGTGTTTTCATAAATATAGATACGTATACATATACGGTGAGTGACGCCGACGTCGACTCCGGCGGCAAAATCCAGCGGAGAATGTCCATATAATCGGTATCGCATTAAAAATTTTGTCAAACAACGATGAAATTATTGCTAGCTATGGATGCCAGCCGATGGTAAACAGCCCTTATGAACTTTAAGTTTCGTGAGTTCAGCCAGGCGTATTTTTTAGGTTTTTCTTAAACAGCCCTGCCACATCGCTTTGTCATGTTGGCTATTTAAGAAATGTTTTCAAGTACTTCTCGTAACTGCTCTCTTCAGGGCACGTGTTTTACTCGCATAAGTAAAGCTGAGGAGAAGTGAAATGTCATCAATTTTGCAAAAATCGCGTCCTTAGTCGTGAAACCAATAAATACGTTCTAAATTAAATATATGTTCCGAAGTGCTCTTATGTTCTTGTTGATGTCTATTACTACTCCCCCCTCCTTTTTTTTCATGTGAGGTATTTCGGTATTCCTTAGAGAAGCCAATGAACTTTGAGTGTTTCTATCTTCGTATTTGTCAATCTAGCCGTACTTCTCGGTGCTCTCGTAATCGCCTCCTTAACTTGGGGTAGACGCAAATTAGTGTGGAAAAGTAGGAGGTTTTGAACATCATGACTATCTGGTCATGGCATGTATAACACGAAGATACCGTCGCGAATGTCGTCACACTTTCCCTCCAAACACATGCGGCCCATGTCCGTATACTACGAGCGGCGGAATGCGGGAATGTGCCACACGTGATTAAGAGTGTACATCTATACCCAGGAACCAATGATGATTCCAATGCGAGAGAGTTAAAAGAATACCGACATTGGCAACGTTGACCCGACCAATGTAAAACATAAAAATCGGGGTCCCTGCAGGAATCGAGTGAGGCCTTTAGGTATTCTACCACATAGCCAGATCTTGAAGCTACTTTGGAAAAAAGTCCTGTGCAGACGTAATGTCACTGCATCGTCAATTGTGGCTGCATTGTTGGCCATCTAATTTTATAATAAAGTAATAAGCATTAAAGCAATAAGCAATAAGCATTAAATGCAAGCATATCCTCCCGCCATCACACATTTCAGCCCGTGTTGATCACCCTAACAAAGTTAATCCCATCTTCCCGAGAACAAAAAAATACCCAAACTCGCCCTTAGCCCTGTCAATAACCAACTGGAGTTCCTTGCCAGCTGATGTAGCCACTCTAACAGAATCATCATCCTTTCTGAAAGCGGTAAAAGTGTTTTTAGAAGTTCCAATCGATTAATGTAGTTATGCGGTGGTGTTGTTCATGTGAATTACTTGAATATTATTGTGTGTGTTATTCGCGCCTACACTTGCTACCTGGAGCCTATTGTATTTATATTAACGTACCTTTTCTTCTGCAGAGTTTATATATATATATATGTTTTTTATTATCCTTATCACCACTGTTGTGTGTACTCTTTTTTTCCATTTTTTTTCCATTTAAGCTTTATATAATGATGCTTCTGAACATTTAATGTATCTTACACATGTTGAAAATCTTCCTAATCCCCCCCCTCCTATTTAATGCCCACCCGGGTCCTTAGGGTATGTAAATAAATAAATAAATAAATAAATAAATAAAAATTACATATGTTCTATCACACAGGCATCACATTGGGTTCACGTCAATTGTGAAAGCAGTGTTGACTCCCCATTTTTAGGCGTCTAATAGACATTTCAGTTGTATTTATATAATTCAGCAAGCTTTATTCAATCGTTGCTCGACCCCGGACGAATACGCTAACGAAAGCTACGTAAGATATTCACATCACCGCACCGTGAAGTGAACTTCATTTTGATGATACTGACGTCTATGCTCTGACGTGACCGCTGACGTTACGTCAGACCATGAGTTACCTTTTAAACACCTGAGTATTCCAAGTTCCTGGTAAGCCCACAATGTACACACAAATACTAAACTTACAAAAAAACACATCGATCCACGTTGCAACTTTTGACTCAAAGTGAAAGAAATGCAGTATGAACAACTTTTCACCGACTGCTTTGCATCAAACCGATTCTCACAAGACGTGGGACCAGCCGAGTTTTTTTAAAGTTGGCAAAGCTCGTGTATTTGTTGTCACATTTTTACTGTGTAAATAAAAAAGAGTTAGGGGCTCTATGGGAAGATGTGCTCTGAAAGAGCCATCAATAATCAGAATACAAGATGAAAAAGAGAGAGGAAGAGGACTGTTCTACAGTTCGACTTGTCCGTTCTGAATGTCGATTGAGACGTGAAACAGTAGTACCACTTCAGCATAGCGAGCTACGACAAATACCTGTGCTTTGGGCTTTTGGTTCGCAATCAACTCATCCGCTTGGCTCAGCAGCTCTTCGACGGGACTCTGCTTGTTCTGTAATCACAGAGAAACATCAATTATAGTGCAGTCTATAAGATTGCTGGTTCATGCAACTTGGTTCGTTAACAGGACTGCTAGATTCGGAGTTTACCTACAACCAAAGTAATGCCAGAATATTCACATTTTCCCCCGACACTGCTTTCTTTTTTTACCACTTTACTACCGGAAAGTCGGTTCCAAAGTTGTTATCGTCGCATGGCTTACCGCTAGCGGTACTGATGCTGTATAAAATGTCTCATGGATCTTACGCTCTTTCTAGATTATTCGTAACATGACTTCCCTCGCGTTGCGTACTTCCTAGCCAGACAAGTGCCAAAAATGTGGGATATCCTATTAAAGCACGCTTCCTCGTCTCGCAAGTGCACACCAATCTTGATCTAAGTTAGGTAGCAGGATTACAAGAAAGTAAGGCTTAATTTACACTCGAAGCAAATTTTCTGGGTCAGCGGAGTAGGTTGAAAGTGATGCAAAAACAACAAATCGTATGACAAACAAGATTACTCCGCCGATTGTTTCGGAAAGCGCATTACTTTACGCGTATTGCCAAAACAGCTAAATTTCAACGCATCCTGTGAGCCTAAAGAAAGCCCACAGACTCAGCTCTTTCTATCAACACAAGTTTTGTGCTCAGGGCTCGTGGCGCGTAGTAGCTTGAGCTGCATTGCGTGAGCGTGAGCGATCTCTTGGAGGCCCCAAAGTTTTGGTTTAACAATGGCGTGTGCAGTTTGAGTCTGCAGCACTGCACAATTTTTGAACAAAAACGAACCTGTAGCTTCTGTAGGACCTGCTGGTGCTGCTGCTGCAGGTGGAGTGCTTCTTCATGGTTGCTTCCCACGTCGCTCATCTCCGGTGACAACTCTTGGATGCGCAGCTCCAGGACATCTCCAGACTGCACCGTTCAGAAAAGTACATTTGGGAGGCCGCTCGAACAACACAGCTAGACCCGCGTACTCTTGAAGCTCTCACAGATTAAAAGCTGATTCGATACTTCGCAAAACCCGTGCGTTCGAACATTGCTTCGCCACAGAGATAGCCCCACACACTTCCACGCGGTAATGAAGTTAACAATCGCACATGAACGGAATAAGTGACCACGATAAAGTTGAAAATCGGGATTGTTCAACTGTGTACCTGGTATACGCCCATTCAAGGATCAATCTTCTGCCTGCCACGGTGGACTTGTATGTATGACGCTTGTATGCTCACCAGAAGGTCTCGGGATGGAATGCTGGCCGTGGCGGTAGCCTTTCAATGGCAGAAAAAGGCTGGAGGTTCATGTGCCTAAACCAAGGTTTCCACTAAAGCCTTCCCCCCCCCCCCCCTTGAAATTTCTGAAGCCTTCTACTATACGGCGCCTCTCATAATAATGCCGTATTTTCGGGACGTAAAACACTAACAATTATTATTTATTAAGATGCATCTTGCAGCACAGCACACTTCACTCCCCAAACGCGCCGAATACTGTTTTGCGGTGAGCCCTATCAAACTAACGCCAGTGTTAACTCGGTAAAACACACTGATAATTGATTGATGGTATGGGGGGGGGGGGGGGGGGGTTAACGTCTCAAAAACCACCATGTGATTATGAGAGACGGTGTAGGGGAGGGCTTCGGAAATTCAAACCACCTGGGGTTCTTTAACGTGCAGCCAAATCTGAGCACACGGGCGTACAGCATTTTCGCCTCCATTGAAAATGCAGCCGCTACCGCCGGGATTCGATGTCGTGACCTGCGGGTCAGCAGCTGAGTACCTTAGCTACTAGACTACCGCGGCGGGGCATACTGATAATTGAATGTATCTTCTTTGCGAAAAAGTCCTGGCACAGTAAATGTTCAGTGCAGACCTTCTTTAGCTGGACATGATGCGCGAGAGAGAAAAATAGAAAAAAAAAAGGCATTGAGGTTCACCAGAGGATGTCTCCGATCGTCTAACCTGCATGTTAAATAGAAATGAGAAGAGAAAGTGAGAAAGAAAAAATATCTCACGTACTGTGGGAATCAAATTGCGGAGCTCGAATGAGGAAGGTTAAATTGCCACATTAGAATCAGCACAACTTTACAAGGTGGGCGTAAATTATGCCATACGTGACTTCGATGTCATGATAATCATGTTTGCGCCTGGCATTTGTGCTCATCGTACATTCACGTTACGTAATACAAAAATTGGTATATGTGAAGCTAGCGAAACGACCGCGAGCGCATAATGAGCGTTGTATGTAGTCATGTTCTTACACGACACGCATATCACAATTATCATGTTTGCACCAGTTATATGCCTTCGTCATTCACTCACGTCACGTAACGCCGAATTCGGCATATGTGAAGCTAGTGAAATGGCCGCGAGGGGACTTTGAGCGTTGCATGTAGTCATGTTTTACAGGACACATTCATGATTATCATGTTTGGACGTGTCATTTATCTTCGTCCGTTCGCGTCACGTAATACGAAATGTGATATACTTGAAGCTAGCCAAGCGGCCGTGATCGCATCAGGAGCATGGGATGTGAATCATGTGGTACATGACACGGATTTTATGACTTTCATTTGACGATCTGTAATTTATGTTTCTCATAGATACGTCATGCAATACCAAATTTGGTGTATATAAAGCTAGCGAAACGGCCGCGAGTGTGCCATGAGCGTGACATGCAAGTCATGTTTCACATAACATGCCATGATTTTTATATTACCATTTGTCATTTATGTTCGTTATGTAGTCACTTCACGCAATACCCAATTTGGTGTATATCAAGCGAGTAAAACGTCAATCAGAGCACCATGAGCGTGGCATGTAAATCATGTTGTACGAGACATGCACATTATTATTTTCATATTACCACCTTTTATTTATGTTGGTCACGCAAAAATGTCTCATTATACACATTTTTGGATATATCAAGTAAAAGAAAAATTTAAGCGCGGTAAACATGCTCTTTTACAAGAGAGCTGTTATGCTTTTCGTTAGGCCGATACGCAAATAACCAACTGCCATCTACTGAATCGTTATAAACATCTTCGTTCCAACTTGCTCCGAAGATCGAAATTTGATGCACATTTTTTAAACAAATTTTGTTGAAATTCCACAAACGCTTGAGGATTGTTCGGGCGATAAAAAAATCTGTCCAAGGAGGTACTCTAATTTTTTTTCGCTTAAGTGTTTGAATTTTCGTTCGGACTGTTTCAATAGGTGCCTGAATGAGAACGAATCTACATTTGAGATGCGTTAGTCTGCGGACAGTGATAGCTGTACCACAACTGCTCGCGGCCCACCGAGTTGAACAGTGGTCTATGCAGTAAATGAGACAACAGGGGTTAAAAATATCAATTTACTTTCAATATGCAAATAATGAGTAGCATTGGCGGAGACGAAGGAACAGATAAATAATTACTTTAACAAAAAAAGTTCCAGAGTTAGAACAAAACTTAAGCAACAGCCGTGACAAAGACGATAGGAGCAAATTATACTGCATTATATTTTATGAAACTATCAACACTTTATTTTGAAGACTTCGGCAAAACAAACAGCATCATCACGTGTACGGTGCAGAGTTTTCCCGCCCAGCTGTGCAGTGCAAACAGGTATTCCTATCACCCTTTCGGTTTCAACCGAGCCCGGCCCTTGCTGCGTTTTCATTCAGAACCCGACCTGACCCTCCTTTAGTCTCGTTTGCTCACCATTAAATAAACACCTAAAAATACCCCACTCCCTGTACGGGGCGGGAGGGTTCATCCGCCTCTTGCACCACCTTGTTTAATTGTAAAAGCTGAAATATTGTTTACCCTTCGACTTCCTTCTGTTCTTTCTTGGTTTTCTTTCTTACATTTTTTCGTTTCTTTTCGTCTTTCCACTTCCTCGCGCCCGGCAGCCCCACAATGCCCCAAACCTTGTTGCAGTTATTTCGAGCCATTTGACCGTATACCCCGGTTTACTTAAGATAACGCTTCTTGAGGTCATGCTGTGTTTGAGTGGAAAGTTTGAAGTACAACGGGTGTGGTGGCCTCGATCTTTACGTTGCTTCGTGGGCACGCCAGCAACGGTGGCTCATCTCCAACTTACATCTCCGTAATACTCGTACAGTCTTAAAAAAAAAGTTAGTGGAAAGGCAGCAACTGCAAGCAAATAGGTAGTAACTTCAGCGCTTACTACCTTTCTTGTGACCGTTACTAACCCATTGCTACATGTTTACTACCTACGTTTATAGTAAGCAGCTACTAGATGCAACTGTTATTAACTTTGTTACCTGTTTACTACCTACGTTAGTACGCATCGAGGAACTGGAATATAATAGGTAATAACTGGTAGCCGTTACTAACTCTCCTGCCCCGTTGCCACCTTTTTACTACCCGCGGCCATTGATTGACTAATCTAAAATAGTAGGTAATACCTGTTGAATTAATTTTTATGAAGGATTCTTTCAGCTTACCATCTTTAAACGGAAAAATAGCGCAGAAGATATCCATGGGCAAGGAAAAAAAACATTTGTTTTAAATTACGCAATCGAGATATGTAGGCGTCATTCTGCTATTGTCAATCTAGAGTACAAGTTAATGAACAAAAGCATGTGCTACTCTCGTTGCAGGAGACAATTCGCAAATTACGATGAACTAACAAAACAGGCGGATCCGATTAACAAAATGGTCAAAATTAATCCGGGTTCTTTCACTGCGGCGTGTCTCACAATAATACCTTAGCTTCGGCGCCTAAAACCCCCGAAACAATTATACCATTTTAGCCCCCGATCCACCGATATATTAGCTCTGTGAAACATTCAAAGACACTGAGACTATAGTAATGAGTTCTGTACCTTCTTTTGACCGCTGTATATAATACTTTTAGGCCATTTCATATTAAATCAGTTTGACATGTCATTTTTATAAGTATTACTAATTAAAAGCTTTGTGCTACAACCTTGAACACGTGTAACCAGGTAGTGTCTTAGGCTGATATTTTTTATAATTCTCCTTGAAACGCAAGCGCTCACCTGTGCCAGATATGCATCTTCAAGGTAGTGGCTAATATACTCTGGTAGACGCTTACCTAGTAATGTAGCCTATATAGTGAACTTGTTAGGTCTAGGTATTCTTCGCGTTAATTACACACGACGCCTGATTACGTGAAATCGTTTAGTAATGAGACATTAATTGGCCAGTATTGACAATCAAGAAAATATGACAAAATGGGAATGGTAGTACCAGTTACTACTTTTTTTAATTTTTAAAACCATTGAATGTTACTACCTGTGGTTGGTAACAGCTAACGTAGTAACAGTTACTAAATGCTGGTAGTAACGTCAAATGTGCTGTTCCCACCCTTGCTGTTACTAACTACACTTACTAGCAGGGACGTTACGTATGTGGCAAACTATTTCTTCCCCACAGTTAGCAAGTACTACAACCTTTTTTTTTTTTTTTGAAGTGCACGTAACCACAAAATTGTCAAACTTTCATGTGAAGCTTGATGGGCTAGTTGGTGTTTGTTTATTTATTTATTTATTTATTTGCGCGTGTTCAACAAATAGACCGAAATAAGAAGACCCGGAGGGCTCATTTTGCATAAATTCAAGATTGTTTATGTATACAGGCATCGCAGATGTATACAGGCACCGCCCTCTTCTCCTGTTCTCTCAATGGAATTCACCATAAGGCGTGAAGCTGGGTCAGAGCAGAGCTGGTGTGCACGTTTCAGTTTCTTTTACTAACCATCTGTACAAAATGCTTGTTCTGTGATGGTTGTGCGTGTCGATTCATGATGGTAACTTTCTCTCTACGACGCACGGCAAACCTCAGCCGTGACAGCTTTGTAGTAGAAGCCAATACAAAATCCTTAACCACGACTTCAAATACTGGTAATCAGTAGGTCATGTTGTTGTCCAAATCGGCACCATATACCACAGCTCCCTTAGGCAACGTTCATTAGAATCGGAGAACTCGCTCGCGCTCTTGAGTGGTTGGTAAATGTTATGGTTACGTTACTAGAGTCAGTCTCCCCAAGGTAAACTGAAAATGATGTGGCGCTTCGTCTGATAAGGGACACCTCCCCGCGCCCCTTCCCAAGCCTTTGGCTTCCAATCATCGGTTCACAAACATGTCACTCAATTTGACCACTTGCGCAATCGAAAGCACTAAACTTTCCTCAAGGACAATTTCTCGTCTTCTGTCTCGATTGGATGAAAGCGTACACCACTCAGCTGAATTTACTATTGTTTGCTTGAGAAACCACGCTCCCCTCGGAAGCACCGGAACACAGCAGCTCGCAACGACACTGGCACTTTGCCGTCCTCCGCACCATCAGGGCGCCGGCGGCACGCTCGGTTGCGTAATGAACTGGCTGCAGTGCCAACTTTGGTTACCGATACTCTGAGGTTCCGCTCTTAGCGAGAATCCCACGACAGGGTCCTTGATAACGGTGGCCTCGAGGCTATATTGTGCTTTGTGATCTAACAGCTAGCCTGCCCTGCAGCCTGCATAACTATCGGACTTCACGGCGCGCATTCGACCACATAGCGCCCATTGTTTCAAATAACGAAGCTGCAGAGATGATAAGTGCCTGGCGGTCGCCGCTGTTTCGGCCTATATACGGTTAGAGAATAATGAAAATAAAACAAACATGACGACACAATCTGACCTCTGCGGCACCTCGAAGTAGTCAGAAATAGAATGCCTAGGAAGTGTGTCCCTCCTAGGAGGGGGGATGATCGAGACTTATTACAGCCCACGAAGAAGAGGCTGATTTTATAAAATATTTACTATAACTAGCGGTTATGGATTAACAGAACAATCGACGAAGTGAATAAGCATGGTCGGCATAACATGCCCCAAAACATCGGAAACTGGTGTATACATAAGTTGATCGACTACGAGAAAGGCTATGCAGGAACACGCAATGGCAGATTTGGCTCTTAGCGGAAACCCTAAACATCACGTGTACTCTTCAGTGACTAGATGGACACAATAAGTGATAAGAAATGTTAGTCTTGCATTATATGGTTATCGTGACTTCCTGTTACCTCAAATAAAATTACCCCCACCGCGGTGGTCTAGGGGCTAAGGTACTCGGCTGCTGACCCGCAGGTTGCGAGATCGAATCCCGGCTGCGGCGGCTGCATTTTTGATGGAGACGAAAATGATGTAGGCCCGTGTGCTCGAATTTGGGTGCACGTTAAGGAACCCCAGGTGGTCGAAATTTTCGGAGCCCTCCACAACGGCGTCTCTCATAATCATACGGTGGTTTTGGGACGTTCAACCCCATAAATCAATCAAATAAAATTGCTGTGCTTTTTTGTGCACTTCGCAATTACGAAACATCATTAAATTCTGTATTAAAATGTTACAGTAAATACAGTAATTATGCCACTTGGTATTTTTCGCTTCATTTATTGTACGCGAACACAATTGTTATAAGTAGTACTGGTGGGTACGCTGGCTGGGAATGGATAGGGGAGGGGGTAAGGGGTCTCAAACCACACGGGAATTTTTTTATTGTGCATATGTATACAGCATACGCACGCTCCCATAAATGCACGCCCGAACATACGTAGAGTATGGTTGAACGAAATAAAGAAAAATCTCTGGCTAAACCCATGATGAATAGGTATGTTAAACTCATACGTTATTTCGGCAACATCGAAATATTATTAACAAATGTAATTGCTTTGTTATTCACTATATTAATACACCATATATCCCACGTCCCCCATTTTGGCGCTTCAATTAAATCGGGACTGTCGAAAAAAAAGAAGTATATAAGCAAATAACTAAACATTGCCACTGACTTGATGCTGCAATTATCGGTAGGGTCGTATATATCGCACATAAAAGTACAATTTCGACGTGGTTCCAAATTAAAAAAAAAAACTTCTGAGAACTACATACGCTGTTTATTCGCATCGAGTGGGAGTGAAACAATCCAAAGAAGTCAAATAAAAAAAGCAACTTCGAGTTCGTCGCTAGTCGATAATCAACGTGTCGATTATGTATACGTGGCACTACAAAGTATGCATCATCCACTTCGAACTTTGTCTCTATTCTCGTCATTCACCTCACGTCACACTGAAAGCAGCGCTTGCATGAATGGCAGACAGTGGCAGAACATGCCCGCCAAGTGCTGCCACGCAGTTTTTGAACGTGTAGCTGCAGCGTATGCGCTGCTTGTCCCAACTGGGACGTCCGCGTAAACTGACTAGAGAAGAGCGGAAACGCAGGCGGGAGACGGCAAGCAGGTCAGACGCCGACGGGGCGAACTTTCTTGGCGACCTCAGCGTCCTGTTTGCGCTCTTCTCCCTCCGTATATAAACAGAAAAAAGTAGTCAGCACGGGCCACAAGGAGACTTCGGGCACCCATGTTTATTTATTATTTCGCTCGATTCTTGAAGCGATGGCGTCCCACGTGAGCTTATCTCAACGGCCAAGCGACTTCGGTGCGTAAAGTGTTGCACTCGAAAGCGACCTTAAGGGTTACCAACCGAGTAGTATGGTGGAAGTAATCCACGGTATTCATTTCGATTGCACTGGTGGTTCGCGACCATCTAGATGAACCTGATACAGAACAAATTACCTAAATTTCAGTCAGTAAAGTCTCACAGTGACCAGCCTTTTTAAGATAAAGCATGATTTCGCTTATATACTTTACCGAAGTTGTCGATCAGGCCTCTCAGTACACTGAATGAAAATACGAGAGATATACCACTCCGTATTTGTTTGCATCACATTTCCCTTCCTGTTAATCTGCGATTCTTACGTTATTCTCATGTATATAGCAAAAAAGTGTGTCATGCTATACTATAAAAAAAGATCGAGTATTTGGGGACTACTTTTGCCACGAAACAATAATCAGTCGTCTACTTCGCACACTTTCCTCGCGTTATCACCACGGTTCCAGTAGTTCGCGGTCTCGAACGGCGCCCGCGTGATCAGTCTGACATTGCATTTTTGATAGGAAAGTAGCGAGCGCCAAGTTTTCAAGCAAGAAGACGCAAGTGAGTCAGATGACCATTATTGTTGTGTGGCAGGACTACCCCAAATACTCCATTTTATACAGTGCATTACAACAGCAATTGGACTGTGCACTTGACTAAGAAAGAACTAATACCAGCGTTGCAAAGGTGTACTCTTCTTATCAAAGGCGCAGTCAGAAGTACTTTCCTGACTGGAAGGGCACGTTAACAAGCCGTTAGGTATGTTCGTGCTTTCATTTATTTGTGTACATGTATGCTTGTATTTATTTGTGACACATGCAAAACTGAAAATTTTTGAACAGGAAGTTATTCACCCCCTTTCCACTCCAGTGTTTTGATGCTGTTTTGACAGTCCAGTAGTGAATGCGTCAGAATTTCTTGCATAGAACTGGCCGGCATTGTGGGCACGTACGAGGAGCACTTATAATCGCCAACTCTACACAGGCACATGCGGACATATATCTCTAGAATGTTCCCCACCTTCATAATCGAGAGCAGTAAGTGTAGTTTGAAGAGTCACATGTTACATGACTACGATATATCTCACTGATTTCTCTGCAGAGCCTGACTATTGCAGTGTTAGTGAGTGTTCGCATCGCCAATGAAGCGGCTTGTTGTCTCTCTTCTCGAGGTTATGTTAAATGTTTATTTCTGTGATTTCGTAAACTTACGTCGAGGGTTTTTCTTGTTACTCCTATTACCCAAATCAAGCGTTCAGGGATCACCCGTGAACCTTCGCAAAACGTGAACGATGTGTATAAACGTCGATCAGTATATAGGTACACGATCAGGACGGTCGATGTCCTACTTGTAATATTTGGCCAGACGATACTAATTCCCGCCATGAATACTCGCGTGCCACCGGACCGGCAAGGAAGGCTCACACGTGCATTCGAGGGAGAAAGACTCCACACATCTGGCTCGCTTCCAACGCATCCGCCCATTATTTTTATGCCACTTCTCATGTGGACAAGCGTACACGCATGGCAGCACATCGGCTGGTTCTCTCACTCCGATCTGGTCCATGGGTTACCCCTATAGCGAGCACAGTCCAGCTATGCCGGACGCACACGCACGGCAGCTATCTCGCTACGTATAGCCTTCAGTGCTGCGTGGTACGGATCAGCCAACAGAACGGTGGATTACAGCATTTTCACTAGCGTAAGCTGAAGATCGGCCCACCGCTTCGGCGCCCCCAAGTTCAAGAGCGCTTCAAGCGCGCGGCGGCGGCCAGCGAGAGGTGTCAAGGTCCATCGGCCACAGCGCGTGTCAGCGCGACAGAGGCGGCTCACCTGCAGGAGGGCTATCACCAGCCGTGTGTTGCCCGACTGCACAGCGATGCTGCTGATGGTGGTGGTGGTGGACGCGCTGCTCGCCATGTCTCCGGAATGCGGCGGCCACCTGCCGCGGGTCCAGCGGGTCAACAACACACGCTTGTTGTGATTGGGCCGCCGGCAACTTACGAGTCGGAACCCCCGGGGTCGCAGCCACTCCTCTCGGGTCGCTGCCAGTCTGAAACTGGGCCCAGCCGCCAAATTTAGGCAACGGCCCAGGCCACGTGGCCAGCGCTCGAAATAGCGGCAGTCCCCCGTACATGTGGCGGCCGCCATGGCCGCCGGCAGCTCTCCGCCGCGGAGGAGAGCCGGCAACTATAGCGTTCGCAAGAAGGCGCGAGCATCCGCGGGGTGACACGCCCGCCGATGCAACCTCGGCGACAGGCTTCTCGGGACGCGCGCTTCCCCGACAGCGTGTCGACGCTACTGGCCGGGGGCAGTAACCTCGGCCGACCATGGGGGGCCTCAGGGTGCGCAGCCCACAATCTCGCATTGACAAGCATTGCTCCCCGCCAACTTCGTCGGGCTTGTTGCCTTATGCGACACTTCTGAGAGCGCCAACTTCGTTTGGGTTATTTACTATCAGATGCCTATATAATGTGCGTCTACCGTTTCTTTTACTCTCCAGATCACGCAATGCGCTAACGGATGGCCAATCGGAGCGACGGAATGGATACCAAGATATGGGAAATGCTGCTAAGGCAGAGGGTCAGATGGGATTACGAAATTCAGTATCTGCGCCTATATAAAATGGAGTTTGTCCAGGTCAATTGAAAATTATTAGATACGTCTTCGTTCTGCATGTGGTGGTAATTTATATAAAAAGAAGAAGAAGAAGATGATGATGATAATGAAATTATTTTAAAGTTTGATATTACGCTGCTTTGCTCTTTGCTTCGATTTGCATTCATTACATTCCTCGCGTAAAACGTTCCTCACGAAACGAAAGTAATGTACAACAACCTTGGAAGAGAGCAGCGCTTCGAGATAGGTAATAGTCTACTTCAAGTTGTAAAATACTATGTCTACTTAGGGCAGGTAATAACCGCGGAGCCGAACCACGAGATCGAAGTAACTAGAAGAATAAGAATGGGGTGGAGCACATTTGGCAAGCACTCTCAAATTATGACAGGTAGATTGCCACTATCCCTCAAGAGGAAGGTATATAACAGCTGTATCTTGCCGGCGGTACTTAGCTACGGAGCAGAAACCTGGAGACTTACAAAGAGGGTCCAGCTTGAATTGAGGACGACGCAGCGAGCAATGGAAATAAAAATGGTAGGTGTAACCTTAAGAGACAAGAAGGGAGCAGAGTGGATTAGGGAACAAACGGGGGTTAAGAATATCATAGTTGAAATCAAGAAGAGGAAATGGACATGGGCCGGGCATGTAGCGCGTAGGCAGGACAGCCGCTGGTCATTAAGGGTAACTAACTGGATTTCCAGAGAAGGCAAGTGGGTTAGGGGGAGACAGAAGGTTAGGTAGGCAGATGAGATTAAGAAGTTTGCGGGTTTAAATTGGCAGCAGCAAGCACAGGACCGAGTTGACTGGCACATCATGAGAGAGGCCTTTATCCTGCAGTTAACGTAGTCAGGCTGATGATGATGATGACGACGTTCCTCACGCGCAAATTTGATCTGACATGTCAGCAGGGTGTGGTGAATGTGCGGCTAATAAAGTGAGCGAGGAATCACCACTGCATTAGCTCATCATATACGCTTGGAATATTGTCTTGTTTTACTGGAAGCACGTATCCCAGGATTAATAGCGTCATTTTAGTCACCAATTAAATAGCCCCGCCGTGGTGGTCTAGTGGCTAAGGTACTCGGCTGCTGACCCGCAGGTCGCGGGTTCGAATCCCGGCTGCGACGGCTGCATTTCCGATGGAGGCGGAAATGTTGTAGGCCCGTGTGCTCAGATTTGGGTGCACCTTAAAGAACCCCAGGTGGTCAAAATTTCTGGAGTCCTCCACTACAGCGTCTCTCAAAATCATATGATGGTTTTGGGACGTTAAACCCCACATATCAATCATCAATCATCACCAATGGAATAAGCTTTTTGGTGCTTCAGAGGAGTCAATGGAGGCAGGTAAAATTTGAGCGTTTGGTCCTGTTCCATGGCGCCACCCCTGCACCAGTCACGGCGCATATATGATTGAAAAGCTTGACAAATTAAAGCTGTACAGGCTAATTGCAAAATTAAAAAAAAGCAAAGCGCTAGTCCAAACAAGCCCGAAGAGGGTGGCCTTCCAACGTCCGGGAAATTGCCGACGACTGCTGCCGAGCTATCAAGATACGCTGGCCTTCCAAGGCTGCGGCAACGAGGTTGTCACTCGGGCGTATCTTCCTATGCCACATTTCCTGGGGTTCATCTTGCCCGTTTGAATATGTTAACTTTGCATTGACATGATCTGTGGAGTACTCTTTATGTGTACATTCCAAGACCAATTGAGGTAGGGTATAACCAGGACGTTATAGAAAGTGCATGCCTATAGTGTAAGGTAACTGTTTTTTTTTTTGCTAAGATTTGGGAGTTACTAGGAATACGCTTAGGGAGTAAATCTGGAGGACAGATAAATATTTTAAATAATAATTGATTGGAGCTCGCAGCGGCATGAATGTCTGCGCTTTCGGGTCTCTGCATATTATTTTTTTTGTCATCATTTTGTGTCCTTTATGGAACACCGTGGGAGGCATTGCTGACGTTACTACATCCTGAGGACCAGCGCCAGCTGGTAGACAAGATCCTGGCGGAGGCTTCATGCTATGGCTACCTGGAACAAGGATGTCGCCCACCCTTGAGCGAATAGAACGCGCGCCTGGTCCTAAAATAAGGTCCAGCTCTCTCTCTCTTTCCTGTCTTTGAGAGTACAACAGACGCAAGTTCCGGTGACATAATGTTTATATCGATAGATCTTGACTTCGGGTGTTTTTTCAGATAATCGAATACTTTTAATGTTTCTCGAGGCTTCCTGCGAATTGTGAAATATTATGGTCATGCACGTGGGGGTGGTGGTGGTAATGGTCTGGGCAGTGACTGCTGCTTCTTCGTTTTCGGGATTCTTGACTAGAATGGTGGCTGCAGCAAGCTTTGTTTTTTTTTTTTTTGGTTGTCGGTGACGCTAACTGCATAGGCCTGGCAGGGAGGGTGGCGTGTGGCGTCGGCATAGCGAGTGTCGGGGTACTTGGAAAATTCAATACCGAATGCACGTTGTCTTTCTTTATAATGCGTTGGGTGCATATCTCCAGAAACAGATGCTATGTAATTGTCTCTTAGTGTTTCTATTGGACGGTGTAGTTGCTGATTAACAATAATTCAACCATTAATTTCAAAAACAATCAGACTCGTAGCTGGGAAAGTTATCTGTAAAAGCCCCCTCATCTACTGGATCAGGAAAATTGAGATTATGCGAAGACATGTGACGCGACCGTGAATTCCAGCTCCCTGAGCGCGCGTTGCCGCGGCACTCCTCAAGGCATCACGTTGTGGCGGGCAGTCGCGCGACGTGCACGGTGCAACGTCACACTGATTGCTTGTCGCTCGGTATCTTCTATACGTTCGAAGGCGTTGACACCTGTAGGAGCAGTCAACCAGCAGGACTTAATTGGCTTCAGACAGGCCGCCGTGCAGAAAACGTATCGGAAAATTTTTAGTTGCTATGCTAATATTCCGCGCTATATCATCCCTATGGCTTTGCAAAGAATGTTTGTATGTAAATTAAGATGCTCTCTGCTACAGTAAAGATATATCGCCTCAGATAGCATGCAGATACGTTCTTTCAGTAATTTTCAAGTAATATTGGACTCATTTCTTCAAGCACCTTATATATATATATATATATATATATATATATATATATATATATATATATATATATATATATATATATATATATATATATATATATATATAGTCAAGTTGTTGGCAACTGCTAGGGTAACCATGAGTGGACCTGGGATACCTATTGTTTACTCTCCCTTTTGGCCTCCGAAACAGCGTGTTTAACCATCTTTCAGATAAGCGGCCTCGTTATCAGTAACCTTAAAATTTGACTAACATCAATTTTCTGTCCAGTGAAACGTTGGCTCGCGTGAAATGACCCACATAAATAAAAATGAATTTAACCTTGATTGATATGTGGGGTTTAATGTCCCTAACCTACCATATGATTATGAGAGACGCCGTAGTGGAGGGCTCCGGAAACTTCGGCCACCTGGGGTTCTTTACCGTGCACCCAAATCTGCGCACGCGGGCCTACAACATTTCCGCCTCCATCGAAAATGCAGCCACCGCAGCCGGCATTCAATCCCGAGACCTGCGGGTCAGCAGCCGAGTACCTTAGCCACTAGACCACCACGGCCGGGTCTTTAAGAGCATGACCAATTGAAATTTTCTCAGAGAATACCAGTCAGATTTTTCTTCGAAATGTGGGGCACATGTAGCTATGATTTTTGTAAAACTTTTGCCTTCTCAATGTTATAGCAAAAGAGCTTTTACTATCCGGAAAGGCGAATGTTTTGCATCAATCGGATACATATCGTTCAGAATAATTTAAAGGTTCCTCGTGCTCTCTTTCATTCGCAATTGAAGGAATTTCACTCAATTTATCATTTATTGGTTCGACAAGGCCTCGTACGTCACCCACCTGTGGTGTATGGAACAAAGGCCTATAAGACAGAGAAAAAAAGTATGGCTAATAGCGGAAATATTTCAAGATTTATGGAATACTTTTAAATATTTAGGAATGTTTGTGCGGATAATATGCTAATGCGCAGAAAAGAAAGAAGAATCTGACCTTTAAGTAGAAAACGTTCCGTGCTACAAATTTTGGTAATCCACAGTGCAAAGCACGTGCACACATACGCTCCACTATGACACGCTGTGGGAATCCGGAAACCAAAAGTATCATATCAGTTCGTGCTTCGTTCTGATAGATTTTCTTAATGTCAACGTCTTCTATTGCTTATGACACCGCAGACGCGGGCGAAACCACCAAGTTTAGCTCGCAGAGAAGCATGATTTTCGAAAATATAGCAAGAAAAAATACAAGCCTACATGTGCGCTACTTCGATGACATGTCGTAAGAGAAGTTGACCGTCCCGTCGCAGCCGTGGGTCAGTCAAAACTTACGCAGCCACGTGTCATAATCTCTCTACCTCTCTCTTTCTCGT